TTTACCACCATTCGACGCGTCTCGATGAGAGAATTCCAACGAGCTATGGCTCGTCCTTGTACGATCACTGGATGGTCGTGTATTCATTTTTTCGCATTTTTCTTAATTTCGGATAGAACCGAACCGAACCGGACGGTTCCGGTTCAGTTCCATTTCGGTTTTTGGTTCTACCCGAACCGCAAAAAAACCGAACCGAACCGACCCATTCAGAGCTTTAAGTGTGATTATATGGGAAGATAACTGTATTACTAAGTAAATTTTATAAAATCTGATAATCTATTATAAGATTATATGTAATATGTAAAATATAAAAAAAAACCATATATAATATTTACACTATATTTACTAACTATTTATTTTATTAAATATTAATAATTAATAACCAATTAAATATAATTTGTTATAAAACATTTATCTATATAAGTTTCTTTACTAAAAATGGCCAATTTTTTGAAATGATTTTGTAATAATTTTGAAATACTACAAAAATACATTTAATACATCAAAATGGGTTTATTGTATTTTTGTTATTATTTTGTAATTATATTGTATCTAGGTCTATAAAAATAACTCATAATAATATCACAATAATTTTTTAATGTTTTTGTTATTATTTTATTATTATAATATAATTAACTTTGATATTATTTTAATATTTTAATCTCAAAAATACCTCAAATATATCTTGATATATTTTAAAAATTTTACAAAATAATTGCACAATTGTTTTGAAAGCCATTGTATCTAGGTCTATAAAAATATTTCAAAAAATTGGCCATTTTTAGTAAAGTTGCATTACTTACTATAAAAATTTAAAATAATAAATAATATATTTATTTTAAACTATATAGTTTTTATTTTATTTTCTTTTTTACTAATCACAGTACATTTACAAATTTATTAAAATAAAACTAAAAATTATCATTACAGAAACCTTAAATTTTTAAACAATACCAAATTGATATAGTATTAATAATGATGTTAAATATACATTATATTGCAAATGATATCATTATGATATTGCAATAATATTATTTCAATATTAATTTGATATATTAAAATAATATCGTAAAGATATTTACTTGAAGAAATATCAAATTGATATCATCTCAATATTGTTAAATAACAATGATTTTTTTGAAAAATAAGAAGTAAATATAATATTAATATGATATTGTTTTAATACATATGTGCCGATTTTTGGAATTAGTCTAAATTAAGATTTTTATAAAAATTTAATATTTTAGTAAGATTAACATTACACAAATCTAAATTAAATATGTGTTACATATTTACGTAACTCATGTCTCTTATACACATCT